AATATGCCACATCCCAGCATCAATCTCAACATCCATCCCACAAAGTAGCCTTCACACGCTGCCAGATACCTCCTCCTATTTCAGCCCCGATGGTTAGTTAACCATGGCTGAAGCAATATGCTGTTGGCTCAGCAAGGCACAGAGCATATCATTCAAGAGCTTCCACACGGCAGACAGGGCTAAAATTCACTGATGGTAATATAATAGAAGTTTAGAACATTTCTACATGGGTCAGGTAAAGTGCTGGTTTTAAATGTTTTGTTAAACATGCTCCCTGATATGGAGTCCAGGGTGTTTTCCCAGATTAACAATAGAAAATATCCAGTCTTTCTGCTGCTGTTTCATGGAGAAGGTCAAATCCATAATTCCATCCCTCTCTGCCAGGAGGTTTTAGCCCTCGCTTTTGTTTTTCTCAGACAAGTTTTTTGGAGGTATATGTATAGCTTTTCCTCTAAAAGCCACTCGAAACGTAATCACAAGAAAATACACAAAATATTAAAATCTCAAACTACCATGAAAAGAAAATTGCCAAGCTAGACTTTTAAGTAACATTTGGTGCACCAAAATTAAATATATTAAGCTTGAATCTAGAGCTAAGAGAATTTAGAATAACCAGTGGGTGTAATTCCTATCAAATATATTTGGTGTTAAGGCACCCTTAAGTATAACCAAAAAAAAGAAAAAACCCACTGCTGAAAGTTTACATAAATCAGTTCCCAGTTACTGTGTTTCAGTGCAGCTACAGATAGCATTTCCTTCCTTTCAAGCACAATGGAAAATTAGAGCTTGCAAAGCTTTCATCAAGAACAAATTAGGAAGAAAACCAGATCCACAGACTATGCAAATTGTCAAAGCAAAGAGTGCAGCGTCTTTTGGTCTGAAGACCATACACAACACTGCTCTGCACTGTCCCTTCTGCTTTTAGCCCTTCGCTCTTTCATGTTTAGAACATTTGCCAAGAATGGTAAATAGGAAGTGATACTCCGAATTGTTACTTTGCTGTGGAGAGTTATGATCAAGAAACCTTGTGGTCTCTAGAAATACTTGAAATATGGCAGCCCACAGCAGAAGGGTGGATAAAGGACTCATGTCTAAAGCCGTGCTTTTTGATTCTGTCCCCAGGCTACAGACTGTACAGAGCAGATGCAGGTCAGTTTGTATGAAGCCATTCACACAATCACAGCCTAAGAGGGAAACATGGTGCCCTTGCCAAAGGGTACACCAGGTACCATTGTTAACACATTTAAAATGCCTTGACTTGTTGCACAACCTGAATCTAAGTTAAAGTTTCTTGCTTATTAAGGCATCCCCCAATATTAATACTGTACATATGAAGTGCCAAGAGATCACACGTTTCACTCTGTTCACTTCTGCACACTTCATGATAACACGCTATTTGCACTTAGCTAAACCAGTGTGTAGCAGGATCATGTGTAACCTCCCTGAATAAACTCCTTTTAAGCTCAGAGCTATTCACATTCCACACGCCATTCACATCGAGAGTTTAGCTACCTGATCAAGAGCAGAGATTTCTAATATTGAAATCGTGACTGCCCGCTCAAATTAATACAAGGCTGAACTGCTCAAACAAATACAGGGCTGAAGGGGAAGCCTCACTGCTGACATGCAGCTTTCCCAAAGCCTTCCAAGGGAGCTCTGCAGGTGTGAGCAGCACCTCCGGGGCAAGGCCACCAAGGTGTGAGGTGTGGGGCTGGAGGGCCCTCTGGTCAGTAGCTGCTCCCCACGCCCACGTGCCTTGCCTGCTTGGGGACACCTGAGGGTACCCAGAAAGCCCCAGGAAGATTAATTTTCTACTTAACTTTACAAAAAGCTGTTGCTTGTCTTTAGACTATTTATTGAAGTATAAAACTCCACATATCCTTGCAAGGATCTCAAATGATCTTGAGTATTTCTTAATGAAGATTTATAAGCACAAGTGAAACACTACAGCTGGGTGACTTCCTGAGATTGCTATACCTATTTCACCAATAAAATTATAAGATTTACTTGTACCTGACAGACATAAGTGCAGAACATGCTGCAAATCCCCCAGCACTAGGTATTGCTGCTCTGGAACACGTTTCTTACAGGTCTTACAAGGAACAGGTCACTTTGAAACTGAAAATCGCATCTCTGACTTGAAGTCATAGAGAAGTTGATGTCTAAATTTCTTCAAAAATCTCAGGGGGTTGTTTTTCTGTCTCTAACACACCTTCTTCCTGTAAATATGGAAGAAGTACTTTCCTATCTGGCAGAGCCACTGCAAGGCTGAACACATTAAAGATCAGGAAATATTAACTGAGGTATCTTGAACAGATGGGAAGTTTTGTTCAATTATATGAAAACACAGAATGTGAACACTTCCCCTTTTAGCAGAAAAATCTAAATACTAACATACTGTACTTAATCCTTTGCTCACAGAGGAGCAGCTGGTTCACAGTGCCATAATCTGAAGTTCCACCGGGTCTCTAAACTGTTGGGTAGAGTTCTGAGCCCCAGTTTAAAATAATTGTAAAAGGCAGTAGAGACAAGCAAAGGAGCAAGTGAATATCACCTGTTTCCCAGTGAAAGTACCACCCAAAATAAGATTTGTGAATCTGTTCTGGAATCTGAACAACCCAGCAACTTAAGGAGTTTTAAGTGTTTGATCAGAAGTGCTTGTGAAAAAAAAAAAACAAAAACAAACAAAAAAAAAAAAACACAAAAAAAAAAAAAAAAACACAAAAAAAATCAAACCCACCTCAGATGAGAGCAGAGAAAGGGTTCCCAAAGACAGAAGACACAGTCCAAGCTTTTAACAAGCATGGAAAGTGCAGCCCTTAGGGAGCTAAATGACAGTACAGCTACGCTGATTTTGAGGGCCTGCCACTAAAGGTAAGAGGGGTGTCTCCAATCTCTCCTGCCATCATATACCGGGCCTTGATCCAAACCACAGCGGCGCTGATAGCAAAACATATCCAGCGCTATACACTGCTCATCTCTTCTCCCTTCTATATATGGAACAGGTACATTTGTGTGGTTTTATATGGTAACTGTGACTGGCTGACAGTGGCTTCTCTCTATACTAATGACCAAACAAATGCAATGAAAGTAAAATGGAAGTAGAATTACTTGTAAGTACCTCATGCCAAAGTATCCACTGATGACATGACAAAACCAAGGCAATGGCTAATTGTTGCTAAAGCAAGTGGCCCCACTCCCTCCTTCCTCAGGCTCTTCCTTGGCGCTTCTCTGACCTTGCTGTGACCAGCCTGAAAGGTAAAGCACTAAAAAGCCAATTCTGCTGAAGAATTTGACTTTCTTACTGGTTTAGCTCCCAGAACTGGTTTTGCTCCACTGCAGGATGAAACAGGCACAAATAGTGGCACAGAGAGAGATGCAAGAACAGGCAGCCAGGAAGCTGCACCCTTTTAAGATCACCAAACTTAGTTCAGTGGTAACACAAAATTGCACACCGAGGCCTTCACAGTCCACAACCACTGAAGTTGGCCCCGTGATACCCCTGAGCAGGAAAAACTTAATCACACCCACTGTCAGATGGAAACAGCCAATTCCTTGAGAGCCAGTAGAAGTTCTGCGAGAAGGAAAACTTGAGGTATAGTTACCAGCTTCTACCTGCACTACACACCTAAAACCAATTTATGTCAGGCAGATTGCGATTCACCCAACATCACACCCTCTGGCCCTCAAGGACAACTGCCATTTCTGTGTCATCAAACAAAAGGCATGTGAACAAGAGAACGGCCTTTGCATATGATGCCCTAGTCAGTGCTTCCCACTACAGAGCCTGTGCCTCGGGCTGCTGCTGCAATTGCTACAAGACCCAAAAAAGGGGAATTTGAGTTTCATAAGAGTTGATCCTCTGACTTCCACGGAAACAAAAACAATTAATAACAGTGCAAAATCCTTGGAGCTCAGCAGAAGCTAAAGAGGGTTTCTTAAGTGTTAAGAAACATTCAGTTTATTGTGAGCAACCTCTCAAGTATTAGGAAACAACATGTTAGTTTAACCGGGATAGTTCATTCTTAGCCAAAGCTTCTAAACTTGCCTTCCTTCAGCAGAATTACTAGTTATAGGTCACCACAGTTACAAAAGTTACATATTTTCTCATGCCTCTTTTGTAGGGACTTCCTTCCCCCTCTTGCCACAGCAAGCTCTATCTACAGCTCTATTGCAAGTCTCCATCTTTCTTCCTCTGATCTTTCCCTGTTCTGACTCAGACGTTTTCCAGGGCACGTCTGCCTGGGATCATGACGGCCAACTGCACCCTCCCCTGTCACCAGCTCTGCTGTCTTTCCACTCTCTCACCCAAGCCAGCCTGTCACCGCTGGCAGAGAGGAATTCCACGTTTCTCTGTCCCAGCCGACACTTTTCATCCTCCCGCTGTGCTGCTGCCGTTCACCCGGACCCCCAGTTTCAGCGTTTGGCTAGTCCACTCAAAGGGGACGGAGCCCTTTCGGTCACTCCCTGCCCTGGGGATGCTATATTCACTATTCACCCCCAGCTTCGCCAGCTCCCTCTGACAGCAGAGACCCTCACCCAGCCGCGCAGCCATCCCAGAGAAGCTCACCTCACCTTCACCAGCCTCGGCCGAAATGCCTTGCCACCGCCGGGGGGGGGGGGGGGGGGGGAGTGGGAATGGGGGGTGGTTTGGAGGGGGAAGAGACCTCCCTGCCTGCCAGCACGGTAGGAACTGCTCTCTGCAGAGCTCCGAGGGGCACGGCAGCCACCCGGAGTCCTCCCCCCCGGCCTGGCAGCCCTCCCGCCCACTCCTCCAAAGGAGGCGACCCGTCCCGCGGGGGAGCTCGGCTCCAACCCGCGCGGAAAGGGCTGCCCGTAGGGCGGCCGGTGGCCGGGCACCCCCGGTAACCGGGGGCGCGCTCCGCTCCTGGAAAAGTTCCCGGTGGGAAAACGCACCTTTCCCCGAGCGGGGAGGGAGGACGAAACAAGCCACCCAGCCCCGGCTCACAGGTAGCCCGCGGCCCCGCGCCCCGGCTCACCTCCGGGGCCACCGCTCCGCGCCCGCCGAGAACCGCGGCTCCCTCCCGCCGGCCCGGGCATCACCGACGGCCCCCGCCCCGCCGGTCCCGCCCCCGGCCGGGCCCTGGCCGCCACCCCCCACCCACCCCCCGCCCTGGGGCCGCCTCCTCCGGTCGGATGGGAGAGACCTGGCGGGGAAACGTTCCCGTTACTCGCCGGAGAGACGGGACCGGCGGCACCGCCCAGCCGCCCCCCCCCCGCCCCGGAGCGGGCGGCATCGCCCCGACGACGGGCCACTGCTGCTTTTGGGGTAGTGCTTCGGGGTCTTTTTCGTTCGTAATATACCGTTTTAAATCGCTGTGAGGAGTTTCTTCCCCACCCCTCCTCCCTTTCCTCCTCACCTTTAAGAATTTCTTCTCTACCCCTGAGCTGGTCGGGAACTTGTAATCCGATCCACGCTTTCCCTCGCAATTTTACCTGTTGTCACGGTGTGATCTATCACGCCGGGCGCAAGTCACGGTGCGTGTCGGTGGTCGGTAGCGCCCGGCCCCGGGCCGGTGGGGCGGCCGCGGGGGCGTTAAACCGACCCTGGTGGGAGCCCTCGGGGCCGGGAAACGGCGGGCGGGAGGAGGGGCAGGGCGGGTGGGGGGGGGGGGTGTCCTACATCGTTTGACACCAAGGGAGACCACTACAAAGCTAGCAGGAATCAAGGACGATGGGAAACCGAAAAACTTTAGTAACAACTAAAAAATAAAAAAGATAGCCCGCAAGTGAGCTGCTTGCATGTCGCAAAGCAAGTTTCATATCTACCCTCAGGCAGGAGGAAGTTTTGCCTAAATTTTTCCTAGCAAGTGCTTGTTTAACAAGTTCTTAATGAGCTTGAACAAAAAAGAGGCGTTTGGGCTTTCATTTAGAGAAGCACCTTTGACTGCAAGGCTGTTCTGGGGTGGAGTAAATTGCACAGGAAGATCACCCAGCGGTTTTGAGAAGCACCTTAGATGATAATCAGGAATGGTTTAAATGAAGATGAATCCTACCTGGAGCAGGGGTTGGACATGAGCTCTTTCGAGATGCCTTCCAGCCCTGTTTTTTACGATTCTCATGATACAGTATGTTATTTATATGTTACAAACCAGTGTACCTATGACAAGCATTTCCACAAAAGAAATGTTGACATTGCTTTAAACAAAAAACATGTTTTCCCCACAATTACATAATCTGAAACTTTTCATACCCCCCCAAAAAATAATGTTAAACTATTTCTCTTATAAGAATGGGCCTTAATCAAATCTGAAGTTAAAATGTATTTCAAGACATTTTTGTCTGCCCTGCTGAGCAGAATTTAGATTAATGAGACAGGGCTACTGCTGCAGGTGTCAATGCTCACCCTCCTTAGAGTGAGCCTTTGGACCAGATGACCTCCTGAGATCTCTTCCCACCCCAGTTTTTCTGCATTTCTGAGCAGCACCCTCAGCAGCCAGTAGCTCTTTGCCCAGGGATGCTACTCCTCGCCCGGTCCCTGGGTGAAAGCAGGCGCCGGACCCGAGGAAAGGCAAAGTGGGGTGTGCAAACCTGGGCTGGATGCATTCAGGGGCAAACAGCTACACCACGGGAGCTGGTATGGCAAGGGCAGGGTGAGGGCAATACCTGCCGCGCTGCCATACGCAGGCACCCTGTGGAACAGTAACAGAGTGGGGAAGGAGAATCTGAAGCCCGGGAGATCTCTCCAGAAGGTTGCCAGAGCCAGGATTTAGCTACTGTGGGGCTACTACAGCAGGGATTGTAAAGTCTTAGTCTCTGGATGTGGAGATGTAGCTAAACAGCAGAATTCAGATCACGTATGCTCCTCTGGGCCATTTCATCATTAGTTCCTGAACTGTCAGCTTATTCATTCACTGTGTGAACGGCCACTGGTTTGGATTTGCCTTAAAACTCTGATGTGTGAGTGGCAGAGCTGCCCTGTGCTTGAAGGAAACAATGACCTGGTGAGTACCACGAGGATGCTAGCCAGCCCCACTTACAAATCAGAGCTGGGGTACACTGAGTCTCGGGGAGCCAAGACAAGCTGTAGGAGGCAAATGACCTACCTTCAGCTGCCGTAAAGAGAACAGCATCATGCAAATCATCCTCCAAAGCACCTGGCAGAAGAAGAGCAGTATCACCTGTGAGCTAATTTCACAGCTGAAAATCACCTGAGTAAACAGATTTTAAGTGCTTTCAGCCTGGTTTTAATTTGATAAGCAGTTTTCTACCTTGTCTGTCAGCCATCGAGGTGACTTGGTTTTGAACTGGGAGAGGAGAGATGCTGGGGAGGGTTGCTATGACACTACAGGTGGTTTCATCCTCATCCCTGTTTCAAAATAAACTAGCAAGCCAGCCAGGGCTGAGTCCTGCTGCTGGAAAGGTCTGTGTGTCAGCCGCTGAGGCGCCAGTGATGGAAAGAGCTTGCACAAAAATCAGCAGCACTCGTCTCTTAGTCCGGGAAATGGCTTACCAAAGGTGGGGAGGGAGAAGGGTGCTGCTTAGCAATTAGATTGTAACGTCCCACATCAGGAGCTAGGTGGGAGGAGGAGGAGGAGGGAGGACACGCATCTGTTCACGGGGGCAGAGGAAGCGCATGCCAGAGGCTTTGGGTTGCCCACACGCAGCACAGGGGGAGGACTGGCAGCCGGTGGGGTCATTAAGCCCTTGTGCTATCAGTCTCCCAGATATTATACATGCTTTACTGCTGTTATACATACCTTTTCCTTGATGGACAGACCGCAGCCTAGATGTTCATGGAGTTGAAAGGTCCAAAGTGGTAAATGGGCATAACTGAGGGCACAGTCTTGCCCCTGGGGCTGGTTTTCCCTGCCCGAGGACTGCCTCCTGCAGGCACCGGGGATATTTGGTGCAGTGCTGCTCCTGCCTTTCCATCCAGTGGCTCCTTGGGGGGGTCACGTCAGGGGTGGCTCGTCTCATGAGGCTGCGGACGGTGACTTGTCCAGCATCTGCTCTCCTTCCTCCCGCTTTTCAACCTTGGCTGCTGGCTTCACTCCTTCTGTCTCTTCTGGCTTTGATTTTAAGCAAAACAGAAGTACTCCCTTCTCTCCGGAAAAGCAGATCAAACCCTCTCATGATGTGGCCACCAGCGCCTGTCTGGCCTTCTGATAGGAGCCAGATTGCAGACCGAGACCCTTAAACCACTTGTCTTTTTTGTGCTGCAGTGCCAAAGGGACAGTATTCCCAATCAGCAGCAGTGTGATCGAAACCAGAGTGTGTTCCCATTGCCATTTTTCTTGATCAAATTTCTGTAAGAGGAAAGAAGCAAAAAAAAACAGTGAATGGTTTTTCTAGCAGACACTTGCCCCTTGAAATGAAGTTGCTGAGCCTCTACCAAGAGACTTTTTCTTTAAATGAACTTGGCAGTTACGGATAAGTCCTTTTAGAAGCATTAGCTTGGTGTTGTTAGGATGTTATCATATTTATTGATCAGTATGCACCAATGAGGGATGCACTCTGTTAAATTGTGCCAATTGAGTCAAGCTTGATGACAAGCACAATGTCCAGCAAGCAGGTTAGGAACGAAGCTGTGGTAAGAGGGAAATTGGAACAGTGCAGTACCTTCAGACAGACAGCAGGAAGGCTGCTACATAATTTAAACCCAAAGTGAGGCGTGTTACCACAGGCATAAGAGCCTTCAGCTGGACAAAAGGCCAGGAGCCATCTGCTTTGCACAGAAACGGGCCAAGTGTGTCTCCGTTTCAGGTTTCTACCTGGCCAAGCTCAGTCCCGACTGGAAGTGGTAAGGGCGACCCCCGTGTATCTAAAGCTGGCTGCAAGGGAGCTGCAGGAAGCTCTGCAAACTTTTGAGTATGTGGAAATCAAGGACGTTTTCCATCTCTATAGGAGCCTGAGATTGCAAAAGCTTTCTCTGGCTCAAGTCCAAAGTAAAAGGGTATTGAATTAATAATCACCACCAAATTGGTTCGGATCGTATCTAAAAGTTTTGTGCTGATTTTATCAAATAATTTTAATTTCTATCTATCGTATTTAAATAATTCAAAATTGAAATCATGTTTCAAAAGGAATAATTGTTTTGAATTGGAGGGAAAATGTTTGCTTACAAAGTGTCAAATTTGGAAAATTTTTGTCCACCTTTATTTGCCTGTACCACATTTCCTTTTAATTTTGATATTCACTAAAATTCAGTCCTTCCTGACAGAAGGCCAGTTTGAAAGAAATGTCAGAAAATCCCAAATCATTGGAAAATCCCAAACTGACTCCACCAATTATAGCAATGGTTTTCTAGGAACAAACTTTGTAGCTAATAATAAGGGTCTAAATCCGTAAAGCTGGGGTCAGTAAGAGTTACCAGTTGCCCATAAATCAGATGGTTCTGATTTGGGCACCAAGCTTAAGTTACAAACACCCAGTGTTTGACTCTCCCCTGTCTCTGTATTTCCATATATTTGTTAATGCTTTTTGCTTATCAGACTAATATTACCATCTATGGGCATAACACGGAGTCTTCCTAACATAAGGAAAGCAGTTGCAACGTTTCCCATCTCCAGTGCAGCACACCATAAAATACTCCTGTTTTTCACACCTTAATCTACCATGGGGTGAAGATGTATTTTTTCCAGAAAGAGGATGGTCTAATCTGAGTGCTGAGGCTTTTTGGGAGCTGGACATTTGCATTTAAAAGTTTCCTGTTAAGTTGAAGTAGACGTACTATTTTGATATGCAACCTGTACCAGTCTGAAAGCAGCATGTGACTGCCTGAGATTTCTGAGCCACCAAAGCTAACTTGTGAAACAGACGAAAAAAAAAGTAGAGGAATAGATGTGGATACATTCACGCTCCTCAGCCAGCTCACAGAAATATTGTGTAATAGTGAGGTTTTCCACTTCTTTGTGGGTTGCATTTATGTGGGCTAATTCCAGAGGAGCTGTCTGGTTTTCCCGTTGGTGGTATCCCTCCTTGGTCCCACCTCGGTCCCCACTGGTCCAGCCGGGCAGAGCTCCAGTCTCCTGAGCATGAGGCCAGAGCCTGTGTCTGAAGGATTAGCAGCTGCTTAAGCACTGAAATAGC